AGGTTCGAAGAGGTGTTCTGATGTTTGCTTGCACAGTCGAAAACAACCCTTAGTTTCTCTGGTTTCATGGGGTTGATTACATGGTGATGGGGCAAATGCCAAACTTGACCCGGTACGTCCTCTATAACATTTTGACACCTTTCAGCGTAACCCTTGGCTATGTAACTATTCATCACCTCCGCGTAGCGTTCTTTAAGATCAGCGTGTTTCATTAATCGAGTCTTCAACCACAACAAACGTTTCCATGCTATCGACTGGTTGTTCGGAAGACTTAGGCAACCATCTTTCCAGGGCAACGGGACTTCAAAATGGCCGTTTAAGAACCGAGTAGATGATTCTAGGGTTTTGAGCACTTGCTTATCTTCTGCTGATGTTGATTTACCCAAAACTGTAGATTCGTTGAACTCCGAGGCCCACGTAGCCTCTAACCGGTCCATAAGAAAGTCACCCACATTTATATAATCAACGCGAATTTTTCTTTGGTCATAGCTAAAGGCCGGTCCCACGACGGTCCAACCGAGGGGCGTACGTATAGCGTAAGGATCCGCTTTCCCACCGTATCGATGTTCTAGCACCCAATGCGCCGCTGGTACATTCATACCTATCAGCATCGACACCCTCCCGCCTTCAACTGTCTGTAGGTTGATGTCGCGCAGATGAGCCCAATCGTTAGTTCGGCCAGGAACAAAACGTTTTAACTCGGGGAGTTGTCGGACTGTCCAAGCTCGATTGATTTCTATAAGCTCTCCTCCTTCTAAGGAACATAGCTGAAACCCAACCACCTCAGAGTTTATCTCAGTTGTCTGCATAATGGTTGAAACTGACAGCGTGGCTGGTTGTCCGGCTAACCCCAGTTCATTCGCCAGGTTCTTGTCTATAAGCGTGGAGTCGGAACCTCCGTCTAGGAACGCATAGGTTTTTACTGATCCTAGCGGCCCGAAAACCTTGACTGGTATGATTCCCAAAGAGGTTGTACAATTTCCAGCCGAAGTCGCATGACAACAAGCGTTGTCTTGGATAGTCGCCGGATTCCGCCCGGTACTCACTGGGTCTTGCGGGTGTAGTAAGGGGTGGTGAACCAGCATACAACGTCCTATACCACAAGTCATGCGGGACCTGCACTTGACGGACTCGTGATTCGGTTTTAGGCATAAATGACACAGTTTTTTAGACTCCACAAGGGAAAGCCTCTCCGGTACACTCCACGCTATAAACTTCCCACACTGGTCCGTGTAATGGTCTCCCTCGCACTGCATACAGCACCTGCGTGCTATTGTTGGCTTAACAGATGGCGCTACAGTTGTTTGTGAGTGATGCAGCAACGCTTTGTGCGGTGCGTTCCCATCAGCAGGAGGTCGTGCTTGTAAGTTCGACCAAGTGACAGAATAGGATTGATGAACCATTTGTACATCGGCCCTCTCATCTACAAATTCCGTCAAATCCGAGAAGGTTGGCTCTCGGCCTAGTCGTATGATAGATGCGGCAACCTCAGACCACTTAAACTGGAGGGCTTGAGGTAGTCTGCGTACTATTTCCGAAAGCGTTCTAGAGGCGTTGAGGTCGGCAACACGATTTAACTGACTCAGAGTGTTTTGGCAGTTCCGCATTTCCCCGGCCAACTTCATCAGCACCATTGGGTCCATGGTTTTAATGATGGGCCCGTCCACGAGGCTATCTAGGTGTGCCCTGGCTATCACGTGGGCTTGACCAAACCTCCTACGGAGAATTTCTAAGGCGCCTTGGTATCCCTCGCTTGGGTCCAGGATAGAACAGCTCTCGATGGCTTCTTTAGCCTCACCCTTACAGTAGTGTATTAAATACGATAGGCGACACTCGTCATCCATGTCTCGTTTCCCAATGGCACTATCAAAACTTCTCATGAACAGCCAATACTTTTTCGGGTTTCCATCAAAATAAATTATTTCTCTTTGTGGTAAAGTGAATGAATGAGATATGGGTGCCTGACTACCAATGGTCTTATTTGATGGAAATGGAGGTGTATCAAACCCGGAAACAGGTGGGGCACTGGCCCCATATACCAATGTAGACAGCGGCCGCGATCGTTCGACCACTGGGGACTCACCACCGGGTTTCTCTTCGACTGTGGTAGCTCTTGCATACTGATCCTCATATTTTCCACTCTTCATGTTGAACTTGCACTCCAACAACCGCAAACGTTCTTTAAATTCCTTGAAGAGATCCATGGTTTCTTCTGACTCAGTCGTGTAACGTTCCAGATCGGGGGCCGATAAAGACTTGTCTGAATTGGTCTGCATCGCTCGGTTCAAAATTTGGCTAACTGTAAGCGAAATCCTTTCGACCGTCAACTTTGACCGTTTCGATTGAATTCCACTCAGGTTCGTACGACCTAGCTGCTTTAAGCCTTTCTAGGGTGCTCCTTCTCGGCGTGGCTTACTTCGCGTCTCGAACAAATTTCAGAAGACTTCAACTGATAGACGTATTAATCCGAAACACGGTTCTATAATCAGTACAACGTTAATGAACAATGAATAGACAAAACATACAGCCAAATTTTGAACCGAGCGAGACACAGATGAGAGTGGGGTAAGTTCCGACCTGGCTTATTGTAATGCAGGCCTCAAACAGCTGATGGATTAACTTTTGCAAGGAAATGGAATAAAAACACCGTAAAAGTGTGCTTTATGGAAAAGAACTTTGTAAATTTCATCGTTAATTTTTGTTGAAACTTGTTTCTCTCGGTCAAATCTCGGTAAATAGCTCTCCCGTTATTGGCTTAGCCGTTGCAGCTTGTTGATTGGGTTATTGGTCATATATAATCCGTAACCCTAGGCTTGATGTTCACTTGCCATTTCTTCCTCGCACTGTCCGGTTCTCGATATGGAGCGAAGCATCGCTGATGATTCTGCCCAGTTCTGTGCAAAGGTTAAGAAGATGTACCCGAATTTGGATGCATTTAGATCTGATTTTCGGGACTTCCAATTAACCACTTGTTCGAGTTTTTACGTATACGACTCACGAACAAGGGAAATGGCAAGTAAACGTGGTATAATGTTACCACCTGGCACGCAGTACTATTTCATCAAATATTGCTGCGTCCATCGGAGAAGAAGTAACTGCTCTGGAAGAAGGTAATTTGTTTTCTTACTTGTTCCTAATGGAAACCGTTTGCAGATACCCCAACCTTGGTTGTCAAGCATTCGTCTCTGTGCGTGCCGTCGGCTCATCCTACATGGTGTCGCAGTGGGCCATGGTCCATAACCACGACTTCCAACGAGAGACCGAGGGTTATTACGTCCGTAACCGCCGCTTGACCAGTGACCAAGAGAGCCACGTGTTTAGTATGATGGAGAGTTTTCGTAATACTGCCGAGCTTAGGGATTACACCCGACGAATGTTTAGCCGTCGCCTTCG